GTACAAAATGATAATATAAAATATTGATAAAAATATATTTTTAAATACTAATCAATAAGTCATCTATCTTAGAGTTTATTTCCAAACCCGACAGTTAGAATATAGAGCTTGGAGTCTTGCATAATATATCTCACAAACAAAATGATCCAACGGTTAAATGTCACTAGATTTGAATAAACCCAAGCTAACCTAAAAATTAATGAGCTACTATTTAACATGAACAATACCTTGTCGGAGCATGTGTTTCCAATATCCACCATTGATAATGAAGACAACATCTAGATGCATCATATATCCAAAAATAGACGTGATCCAATGGTGTAATAGAGATAAATCGGTCGGCGACCAAAACTAGCATATAGGTGTATTTCCTTTTGTTTCCTAAGAAATTCCGATGATGATTTCTGTCAAATGGATTGTTTACTTTCAAATCCCTCTAGTCAGGTAGTAAAGAAGTGTGAGAAGAACAACATATCCAAAACGCAGTACAATCCAATAGTGGATTCTAGATATATGGACACCAGAGCATTGTTACCTTCTTTGGATTGGCTCCTCCAAATTTTGCACTTCTCTCTCTAGCCAAATTTTCTCTATTGTCTCTCACTTTTTTTAGCTAGAATGGTTAGCCTCCTTGCTGTTTTAAAGGCATATTTTCCATTAATTATAATTTTATCCCTTATTTATGCTTTTATGTATTTTATTTTATTTTTCACGTAAACTATCCAGTTTGTTTTTGCTTAAATCGTTAGTCTTTACCAAACTCCGATTGGGATGAGATCTTTAAATAAGGTAGGAAAATATATTAACAAACATAATTCAAAACTGCATCCCGATCCGATAATTGGATTGAGAGTTCTGCTTTCTAATGTAAAATTGGTCAGTTCATGAGTTTTCATCAACAATTTAATTTTTCTTGTTTAATTTTCACATAAAATCATATCAATTATCCTTCTAAACCTTTAATGTCATTTTATTATTTTGGAGTATATTCATTTTAAAATTTCTACCTTAATTTATTTATCGGGCTTATTACTGTTTCAAAGTAATGTCACTAATTTTTAGTCGGTGCTTGCACTTCAGTTCTGTCCTTTTCATTGCATTATCCTTTATTATAATTTATTCTTTATCATCTCATTTATTTTTTAGAAATATTTTATCATTTTTCTCATTATTTTATCCAACAAAACACGTTACTAGTTTATTTGTCCTTCATAAATTCTAAACTAAAATTTATTTTATAGAGGTCATCCCCTCTATTATATGTCATATTTATCTATTATTTTTTATCTTGGTTTTTATCACTCATCGAGATCATATCATTATCAATCTTTCATCTACATGAAAATTTACATATCCACATATTTAAATTATAAATTTTCAAATTTCATATAATCACAAAAAAAATTTCAAAAAACATTATATGAAAATAATCCTACTATCTATTTAATCAAATATAAATTAAAAGAAAATACCGTCCGGGTACAAATTTTACAAGAAGCTAACATGTACATCCACTTATAAAAATTCTACATCAAGGTAAAAATATTACACCTCAAATAAACATATTGCAACCTGCCCTCCCACCCTCATCATGGGTTATTTATTCTAACCTTATCACATTTTATAAAGTAAATCCTCCAATATTATGGAACTAACATTTCAAATATTCATTATAATACAAGCATAAATTAATAAAATGTTACAAACTAATGAAAATAAAATTGTCAAAGGGGTGCTATCGGGGTCCATGCTGATGAGGATTGGGGAGCGTGGCTCGTTGGATCAGCTGTACTTTCTTCTCCCCTTCTTTCTTCATGCGGTAGCAGTTAAGTCCAATGTTGCTTGAGGAGAGAGATCGTTGTAGAGAAAGGTTTGGTCTGTTTTCTTTGTTATTTTTTTTTTTTTTTTATAGTAAAGAGGGAGATAGTTTTATTTATTTATTTAGTTATTTATTTCTTACCTTTTATTTATTTATTCTTCTCTTCTCTTCTAGTTTTTTTTTTTTTTGCGGTCTCTTTTCTGGTCTATTTCTAGTTTTTTTTTATATATATATAGTATCTTTTTTGTTCTTTTCTGGTCTATTTCTAGTTTTTTTTTTATATAGTATAGTATCTTTTTTGTTGTGCTTCAGACCCCAATTTATGTGTTGAACACCCAAGAAAATAAAATCCAACAATTAATTAGAAAATATTTTTTTATTTGTGAATGAGATCCAAGAAATTCTAATTAGGTCAAATATCAATTTTTCCTTTCTTAAAAGGTGCAAGATCTCTTCCTTTTTCTCTTAAATTCAATGAGATATATGCATGATTGGAGATTCTCTAAACATCTTTATTATGAATATCCATATAGTTCAAGTCCACTATAATCTTTTTAATTTTATTTGAATTTCTACAATATGAAAGAAGATCCCTTTTTATCTTTTAATCTATTTTGAATTTAAATATAAGGATTATGAGTATAAAAGTCATCAAGGAAGGATTTAATATCGACTCTTTAGCCCTGAAAGATGCTGGAAAAATTACCAATAAAATCGAAAGAAAAGAAGATGCAGGCAATTTTTTTTTGATAAAGGGTGTTTTTGTAAATTGGTTAATGCTAATGGTGTGTTAGAAAAAGACCAAGGAGACAGGAGATGTCAGAGCCGTGCTTTAATTTCATGTTTGAATACCAAAACTCTCAACGCAAGAACTTTAATGTTGGACATATTATAATTTTAAAAAAATAAAACTTCTATCAAGAACTTTAATGTTGGACATATTATAATCTTAGATATTTAAGGTTTGGTTCTTTTCATATTTTTAAATAAACACGACCTGCTAGGTTTCATATCTTATAACTAAATTTTAATGTTGGATATTTAAGGTTGGATTCTTCTCATATTCTTAAATGAACATAATCGGTTATGTTTCAAATTTTATAATTAATTTTAGATTTTACTATTAAGTTCTTTTTATATAAATTATAATTATTCAATTTAAATTTAATGATTTAGATGTAACTAGTTTACAAGCCCACATTATTTTTTTAAATATAATAAAAAATATTTAGATTATAGAAAATTATTTGAATTTTTTTTGTTTTATAAAAATAAACATAGTAGATCAATCTTAAAACTTCTTGATTCAACTTATTGCGCAACTCAATTTTAAAATTAAATAAAATGGGATTTATTTTAATGTGACTTCATCAACTTAACCGGTCTAAAAGCATCCTAGTCAACCATTAAAAAAATCAAGGATAAAATTAAAAAAAATAAAACTCTAGACTCAACTTCTTATCTAATCCAAATTTAAAATTAAATAATATATGAAAGTTGTTCGAATATAACATAATTAACTTGATTAGTCCAAAAACAGTTTAATTGATAATTAAAAAAAAAATATGATAATGAAATAAAAAAATGATAAAAATAAATTAAAGAACCTCTAAACTTAATTTTTTATTTAGTATAAATTTAAAATTAAATTATATAAGTATTACTCTGAGTGATGCAATCAGTCAACCCAAATGTAAACCAAATAAATGTAAAAAAAAATTAAAAATAAAATATAAAAAATTAAATTAAATGAAATGGAAAGATAAACTGAAAAAAATAAGGAGTTAATTGAAAAAAAAAAATCAACATTAAAGCTCGATAATGTTTTACATAGAAGTAATAATAACAAAACCATCATGTGTTGTAAATAAATGTAAGATCATTACAACCAAATATTTAGTATTTTATGAAAGTACAAAATGATAAAATATACCCCCTTGGAGAGAGAGAAATTAAGGAAAAGAAAAGAAAAGAAACAAGAACATCATGACGTCTCAGCATCCCACGAATAGAAGCACATGGAGGATTTATGCCGCCGGTTCTTGTTCCGGACCTTTGTGGCAGCTTCATGTTCTTTGCGATCTGATCCTTCACAAATCACAAACCCTTTTCTCTGTCAATTTGGATCTCCAACCTCCACTTGCCTTTGTATATTGATACAATAAAATAAAATAAAGGGATGAAATTGTGATTTTGTTTTTAAATAACGCTGCTGGGATTTAATACTGTTTTCTTCACATAATTTAGGTCCCCACAGGCATGCTGCAGAGACTACTCCAGCAGAATCTTGCATCCACTGCAAGCAATCGCCTCCTTCCCAGAGGATGATGCGTGTCCGCCTGCACCGTTTGTTCTACTGGGCAAGCAAGATCTCTTCGCTCAATTCAAGAACCTAATGCGAGTAGAGTATGAGCATGTCAGTTTTAAAAACCACACCCAAGAATCGTTTGTTTTTTTATATTCCTCCCCCGGCAGATCGATGCACATTCACGAGCCAAGATCCATCACTGAAGTTTTTTTTTTTTCCTTATATATACACACACACATATAAAATTGACAAGATGACCCAATAAAGCATGTAAAATTTTAATATGTACAGGCTTCGAGGCTGTTTGACATGAAGTTTTTACTGTGTTTTAAAAAATATATTTGATTTTTTTTAGTGTTTTTGAATAATATAAATATATTTAGTTGAAGAGAGATAAAAAAAAAAAAATAAATTAGATTTTATGATAGTTTTGAAATATATTTAGTTGAAGAGAGATAAAAAATAAATAAATTAGATTTTATGATAGTTTTAAAATAAATTTATATATTTTTAAAGTAAAAAAATACAAGGAAATAAATTCTTTTTCTCCAATTAATAATCAAACATATTCTATTATTTAATTTTATGGATTCAAAGTTTAGTATCAATACAAACAAAATGTATTAAACTCTATGCAAATATAAAAAAAAATCATAAAATAAATCGGCTTAGGAAAAAAAAATCGATCCATGAATTGACAAGGAATAAAAGAAAGTTAACATGCGATATATAAATAAATAAAACACTATTGTTTATCATGGTGATATGTATTTATTTATAAATACATTAAAATAAAATTATTTTTTATTTTTAATGTCATATATCAAAACAATAAAAAAAAAATCTCAAATATTTTTAAAAGATCACCGGAAAACAAACTCCGCCCCAGTAACTCGTTCACTCAGGAAAATCTAAGCATCAAGAAATGGAGAAGGCAGGGAGAGAACATACACGTCCACAGGTGAATGGATATCTTAGTCAAACAACAGGGTTTCATCAGCAGCAGAAATTTAAAAAAAAAAAAAAGAAGGGCGAGCAAGAAAGCACCCCAAATACAGGACCCCTCCAGAAGGGTTCAATCAAACACCTTTGCAGTTTGCACTTTAGCTGAAAAAAGGGGCAAACCCAGAAAGATGGCGATAAACATTAACGAAGAAACTGAAAGAGCACCCCAGAGAAGCCATGCCATTACCAAACCAACAAGTAATTAGTCACTAAACAGACCCACTAATCTAAAACTCAAGTGACCAAATATATTGGCATTGCAGAAGTAGAAATACTCCGTTGCTGCTGCTGCCGCTGCTCCATGGTAAGCTCCCTCAGACTCAAATACGGTATCTCCATATCACCCTTTCTTGCCGGAGTCAAGGATCCAGCTAGAGGCCCTGATGATGGTCTGCTAGTGGACCTGTAAGGAGTGCTTGATCCACTTAAACTATCAGTTAAATAAACAGGCCCTGAGATGGAAGCTCCGAAAGCTCTAGCCCTTGCTATATGAACATCTCCGTGACCAAGATAATCATCCTTGTGATTACTGTGGATCCACTTCCACTTAAAGAATAGCAAAGCTTTTCTCCACCATTTCTTCTTCTTGTTGTTGGGTTTGTGGATCGTTCTATTAGCAGACTCCTCTTTTGAAATGGGTTTCTGGAGCTTGAAGTGTAAGGAATCAACGGAAGACCTTGTTGTCGTCGTCTCTCTCTTGTGGTTTCTTGCTTCCTCCAGGAACTGATTTTCATGGAAATCGAGACAAACGGGGCCAGTTGAAAACATCAAACAAATAAATGGACACATAAGAGTAAATGAAGAGTATCATATAAAGGACTGATGAACTAAACAAACCTGAAAGTAATCAATCTGCGGGTCAAAGCCATAGTCGCTGAAGTGTTGAGGTTCGGGAATGGGAAAAATTGGGGACTTGTTAGACATTTTCGCTTTGTGGTAGCTCCAAAGTGAAGGGCCTTTAATTTTGGATTTGCTTTATGGTGGAGGAGGGGCCAATTAATGGCATCAGCAGCAAGACTCTGGTCGTGACTTGTGAGGGAGGGAAAACAAGAGGAAAGAGATGGTTCTTTTGGGCTTTGGGGCTCAGGGGAGGTAGTGACCGTTGAGGAAAAGCAAGCCCTAGTAAATGCTCCCTCTGATCAGTTAAAGATATAGATTTTTAAAATATGTTTTATTTAAAAATATATTAAAATAATATTTTTTTAATTCTTGAAAAGTTATTTTTTACATTATTATACCAAAATTATCGAAAAATATTAAAAATATATTAATTTAAAATAAAAAATAAATAAAAATAAAAATAAAAAACAACTCACAAATTATATACTTCCAATGGTACGGTCTCTTAAATAATTAACACAATTTATTGTTATCCCAGTCACGCTCTTGTGTGACAGAAAGAAAGGGATGAGGGGAACTTGTTTGAAGCGAGCAACTCTAGGCAGTGGGAAACTCCATTTTCATTTGCCATCAAGATTGCGTCATTTTGAGGGCTCATCGGTTCCAAACAGGATAAATCGGGAAATTAACATTTAAAATTAAAATAATCTGTGAATTAATATAACAAACTTTTTTAGCAAACTAATACATTTTTATCTTTATCACGTTTTAAGAATACAATATTTATTAAGTATTATTATTCCTAAGATCATTATTTACTAAAATTATTGAGAAATTCTTAATAATTTAAAGATGGATTTCAATAAGAATCTTAAAAAAAAGATCATCTAGACATTAGTTGTTTTTTTATTTTTTAATAATATAATCTAGATTTAAATAACGGATAATCCTGAATACTCAAGCATGAACTTATCATAATTAAATAAATAATAATAATATTTAAATTAAATAAATAATAATAATAATAATATTTACTAAATATCACATTTATAAATAGCTATTTCATCAAAATTTTCAGTAAAATCTTCTCAACCTTATAAACAACGACGAGTCCACATGGGTTTTTTATACACCTCGAGACCCTCAAAAACAAATGTACGAGTAAAGTGATCTTACGTTTATAAATAATACTAATATAAAATATCATAAAATATTCGAATTATTATGATAGTGTGCGGGTGCCCCACGTCATTAAATGCTTTAGGATTACGTTAATATCTTAAAAATATAATTACAAATAACCTTCTAATCGTGTTTTCAGCTGTTGCTTTCCTTTACAGAATTACACTTTACCCTCTTCTTCCCATCAGAAATTCAACAAATCTTGCACTGAACCTCGGCCTCGAGGGTATATTGGTAATTGGGCACTGTGATTAAGATTAACTAATGCGACTCAAGTGCCATCTTTTATGCGTGTAATCAACTGACAATTTGACCAACTGTGGCTCTATAAACCAGGATCTGGCTAGGGTTTATATATATATATATATATATATAGAGAGAGAGAGAGAGAGCACTGTTTATTTATGCTCTTGGTAGGCGACAAAACGTGATAACCAAATGCATGTTCCTGCTATAGATAGCATAAAAAATGCCACGTCGTAATAGGTAAGGAAAAATAAGAAAATGTTGTAAGAAACCAATTAAACAAATTATCTAGAAAAGCAAATCCTTCACCACGGGTTCCTCTATTAAATAGTATTAACTAACTTGCTTGCCCGCACTCATTTTTTTTAAAGCATGCAAAAATCATGTTTAATTGCATTTAAAAAAAAATAATAAATCAACATCTTAGAAAAAAAACCGAAAAAAATAGTAACAAACAATCCTCAATAATCAAAATAATAAAAAATAAAATAAAAAATATCAAGATAAAAAATAAAATTAAAAAAATAAAATATATCAAGACATCCGAGTTGTGAAATTAAGAAAAACAAAAATTATAAATCCAACAATAAAATTCAAAACAAATTGAACTTTGATAAAAAAAATAAAATAAAAATTAAAAAATCAAAACATTGAGGGGTAAAACCTTAAGTATCATCAAATATTGAATTGATGGAAAAGACTGAAAATTCCTAAGGCTTTTATTTCATTAAAAAAAACCCAAAAAAATTAGAAATCAAGAGAATGAGAACTCAATTTGAAAAAAATAAAAAAATTAAAATCAAAATACAATGTAAAGTTATACTCAACTCAACGAGTTGACTCATAACTTAAAGGACTCAGGGCTTAGACCGAGTTAATTTTCAAAAGAAATTTAAACAAAGTACGAAGATATTTAATATTTATATTTAATTCAAAATTAAAAATCCTCGTAAAACATAAATGAGGCAAAGCCTAAAAAAGAAAAAAGATAGAGGGGCACATTTTTTTTTTCCAAAATGAATGGAAAATCCCATAGCAAGTGGGAAAAAACTAAGAAAAAATTTAAAGGTGAAACTAAAAGAAAATAAACTATAAAAAAATCAAGCAAATTTAGGTGAACTTTCTAAATTCAGGTAAATCCCTTAAAGCCACATACCATTAAATTTAACACCTAGCCTCAATTAAGAAACTCAATATAAAAATAATTAATATTGAAGGGTGAGATAAATCAATTTAATTAAAAACTATTTTCAAAAGAGTAAGATCTAGTAAAGAAAAAAAATATTAGATGTTGAAACAAAAAAAAATAAAAAAATCAAGTAAACTCGAACAAACCTCCTAACTTCAGATTAATATCTCAAACTTGTAACTTGTTAAGCTCTAGACCTCTACTCAATTAAAAAGGTCAGTACCTGACAAATTTAATAATGAAGAATAAAATATAAAATAAAATCAAACTAAGAAGTTTAAAAAATCAACATGGAAAAAACCCCAAGGAGAATGAAATCGAAAAACAAACTGATTCTATAAACCATTTAAAAATAATAAATAGAAATTAAAAGAATGGAAAATAAATTAATATATGAAAATATCTATGGGGGATGAAATTGAAAAAAAATCTAATTTTATAAATTATTTTAAATTAAAAAAATTTAATCAAAAAACCATGGAAGAAATCTGGAGAGAGAAAAAACAAACTAAAAGGTTGCACTGGATTTTATAAGGACCAAATTTCAAAGATAAAAAGATCCATTGGAGATGAAATTGAAATTTTTATTTATTTTTTATGAATTATTTCAAATAAAACAAATATTAATCAAAGACTAGGGACTAAATCTGAAGATAAAACTAATTAAAGGGTTGTGTTGAATTTCTTTATGGACAACATGATTTCCTAAGATGAGACAGAAAAGGAGAAAAAAAGAGATGGTCATTGACGACAAACTAGAGGCGAAGAAGAAACACATGTCAATTGGTTAGGTAGGCACTACTGAGAGGATTTCGTCGCTACCTTTGAAGTCACCATTTGACCACATATCTTGGCTGCATGTGTTGCCATAAATTTTCTAAAGCCCCATGTGCCTTCAATTTAATAATTTAAATAATATTATATAACCGGTAAAAGACACAACAACCCCTCTCTCAATTAAATAATTACCTAAGAAACCAAAAAGGAAATACATAAATGCCTCTGCATACCTATTTCTTATTTTGTCTTTCAAGGATAAGTTTGTGAATTCACTGTATAATTAAATCCAAAATGTAAAAAATACCCCCGGACGATAGATATATGTCATTTTTCTAAAAGGGTAAAAAAGTCATTACATGACCATAAAAATTTATATAAAACCAATCCACCCCTAATGAATTCAATAATGCCAATTGAATCCCCATGCAAAATATGAAAACACCTTCAAAAGCAACATCTTTTAGTTTTATAAATAACACGATTAAAAAATTGATGTCTTCTCCCAATTGTAGGAGCGTTGAAGTAATAAATAGCCCGGCAATACCGGAGTCGAACCACAGGAAGGTTAACTATATAAATTATAAATAACAACAACAAAAACAATAATAAAAAGAATTTAAAGAGGACTTTGAGATATAAGATTAATGTGAGGATTAAACAATGATAAAAAAAATATATCAAGGTTAGAGGATTCATTAATGGTATTTCAAACAAATATAGTATAAACTCTTTTTATTACTAAACTAGAAATCACACACAAAGAAGATTTCAATTGAATTATAAATTGTTTACATGATTATATTAATTATCTTATTCGAATAATGCTAATACTTATAAATATTATCAGGTACTCATGACTATAACTTATGTTAACAACAAATCAAGTTTCTTTCATAGCACAGGTGTAGGTTATACCATACAGTTTGGCTATGAAAGTGTCAAGTATTTATTGTACCAAGTGTTATACAACATAAATCTCGATTAACCATTTAACAAATAAAGTATTAAAAGTGAACAAGATAAAAGATATAAAACATGTTAATATCAAACTTTAAAGTCCATGTTAAGCTTATACTATATTTATTATTACACTATTAGTATAACATTTTCATCTTGACATAATAAACTTAGTTGAACATAATAAATAAAAGAAACATAAATAAATAACATAAGAACATAAGTATAGTAAAGAAAATAAAATGCATAAACATGAGATTAAGAAAAATATAACATTAAATAAAACTTAAATATTACAAAAATATAAAGAAAGAGAACAAGAATATGATTTTAATTTGGAAACCAAGATATCTAAATGCATGGCAGGTACTGACACG